TCTCCGAATCTATTGGACCGATTTAAATGAAATTTTGCATGGTGGTACCTTATATCCCCGGACAACGTCTTAGATATTTTTTATCCCGGAAAATTAAATGGTTCCCGTGGGATAGTTAAAAAACTATTATAACTTATACAACTTACGCACCTAATGTAGTAAAATTTAACATTCTGATACCTTATATTGCCGGTCAAACAACAGGTTACTTTTCATCCGGGAAAAATGAACGGTTCCCGTGAGAACTAATAGATTTCTATTAGTATTTTTCTAGAGGCGAACCCGAGCGAAGCGAGGGTGAGCCGCTAGTACAATAAATGATTTTATAGAAGGGAATGAAATGATCGCCTCCAGGCTACTTCAAATTGATAGAAATATTGTAAATTATAATTTTACTTTAAAAAAAGATTATACTTTAAGAAAAGATATTGGTCCCGCTGAGTTTCTTTCGCCAGTTCTTCTCAGGTCTGAGGCTTCTTCTTTCCGAACTGGTAGTAGACTCATGACGTTCAGTAAAAAAATGTAATAATTTAATGCTGAATAAAATATTTTGAATAATAATTTTTTGAATCAATATTTTTTTAAAAGCTCATTTAACTTTGTGTTATTTGGCTAAAGATGTCTTATGAAATCCACATATATTAAACATACTAGATTCTGGCCGCGGCTGCGTTCGCATAGGTTTATTTGCATACATACATATATGTACGATTATTCCGCTCCTGAGAATTGTAGTGTGATTTCAGAAAACATAGAACCTTATTCATTATATATATATGGGCAATAAAACAAAACGATTTGTAACAATTCCTATTAAAATAAATACTAACTCTTCAGGTTTCTAATTTAGTCTATTCAAATAATAAGCTGGTAATTGCGTATCAATTTCACTTTCTACTAACGATGATACGTGGTGAAATTTTATCATACATATTAATTTGTGTGCCTTACCACTTAGAAAAACTTATCAAGAACATTAAGTTTATAAATGTTTTCAAAATATAAGCTAAACAAAATAATCTACAAAAGTGTTCTTTAATAAACTGGTTAGTTTAATAATTTGAAAATTCAATTATAGACATTTTCAGCAGAATTATTCTCAAGGCAAAAATCAGATGGTGAACGTTTCGAACGCGTCCATATTGAGTTCGAGTAGTCTTTAGAACTCCGCTGTGATATCTCAAAAGTGCCACTCTCTGAAAGGTCACTTGGGACTTACCTTTGAAATTTTCAATCATGATTAAAAACTGTAAAAATGAAATAATAATTCTACAATACGAACAGTTGCGTGGTTTTGTCTTGCAAGTTGCGCGTCCAATTCCAGTACGAGGTGAAATATTGACGTACATATATAACGAACTGAGTAAGACAAAGCGTAACTTTAGAAAGCACAACCCAGCAAGCACAGCTTTAGTAGAGACAAGGAGTACAGAATACAACCAGAATTCACTTAATATTAAAAATATTTTAATGATAAAATAGATTTACGCGAATATTTGACATTTTAAATAAAACTATCTTTTCGGATTTTTTCCCGGATTTATTTTGATTTTAGAGAGATGTTCTCTTCCGTGACCATGATCGCTGTAAAGGTTCGAAACGTAAAAGATAGAAGATATAACCAATATAAGATATTCCCAAAGATATAACCAATTATTTAAAATGATAAATTACCCTTAACAATCATTTCCAAGACGATTCCTATAAGTCGATGTTCCTATAATAAATATGTAGTAAGTTTTTTTTTTGTTTTAGCTGCAAAAGCAACAACAAATTAATTATTCGAACAAAAATATCCAAAAACTTTTAATATTATTCATAGTTGAACAATTACATTATTCTCACATTCCTTACCTTGTAAAAGAAAAAGTTACTTATAACTTACGTGATGACGTGACTCTCTTAGTTCCTAAGTGCGTAATCCCTCCACGACCGCGGACACGCCGGCATTACAGTTAACAATAGATTTCTTAGAAATTTAATTATATATATATATATATATATATATATATATATATATATATATATACTCTATGCATAGATGAAGTTATGCATTACTTTAAACAGTTATTTTACTCATTTCATACATATTACTCTTTCCATCAATATACCTAAATCTAGAGGATCGTTAGTACAAAATAAAATGCAATGTTACCAGTGGCAATCTAATATGTAATTCGCTAACAGCATAAAAATAAATAACCATACGAACATACATACATGTCTTCTTCTCCCTGCGCATTTCCCAAGTTACTTGGGGTCAGCGCAGTAAGTCTTCCTCTTCCACTCTCCCCTATTACTCGTCATCTCATCATTCACCTCTTTCTGATCTCCATCCATCTACATTCATTTCCATCACTCTTCTCGTCACATGCGTTTCATTACTCCTCTTCACAAGTCCATACCAAATTAGACGATTTCTTAACTTCTCAGTCACTGGTGCTACTTTTAGGCATCCTCTTAAGTCCATTCTCGTCACTCCACACAAACATTCTATCTTAACATTCTGATTTCTGCAGCATGCAATCTTCTTTCATCAGTTTTCTTCGTAGCCCAGCATTACAGGTCTTGTTACGGACGAACATACATACATATACTAGACTCAACTAAAATTTACTACCTACAAACAAAAAATGTTTCAAGAGTCATTCATATTGAATTTAAAAAGTGTTAAGTAGTCTGAGCCACAGTAAGCCATATCTGGCTACAGTACTTCCTAAAGGTCATTTGGGGCCCTCTTTTATATGATACATATTTTAATTATTTTTTATGTTAAGTATATTCAAATATGGAATAATACTGTAGAAATATTTTGTAACTATTTGATAACTATTAACGTTTTGTAACTACATTAAATAAAACGACACAGTTTAGTCGATACATTAGTCGTAACAAAAACTGAATGGTAGTACTCAACCAGAGAAATAAAATTGAAGTGTTTGTTAGTAATGTCAAAATAAGAGTTTTTTACTAAATGCATATGAAATTACATACAATACTTATGAGAGAAACACAATTTAAAAAAGAATTCTGTCTGTATTTCTGTTTGTCTGAATGTCTGTCCTGTATCTGTATCTTTTCGTCATTCTGTCTGTCTGTTTGTTCCTGCTAATCTCCTAAAATGCTAGACTGATTTTGACAGGACCTTCACTGGTAGGTAGCTGATGTTATAAGGAGTAACGTAGGCTAATTTTATTTTACAAAAAGAATTAGGGTTCCGCTCGAAAAATAAAACGTACCTAGTTTACGACAGTTGCTAGTTTACAATAAAGTTGCTTGACTTGACTGATTCACAAACCTCTATACCTAAAGGATAGAATGGATAATAATTCAATAATCTACCCATATAAATAACTGAGGTGACCGTTAAGATAAGATTTTTTGGAAACTCAATTCTTAAAGGAGCAATAAGGGGTTTAATGGAAAAAGTAGTACGGCGAAGCTAGACTGACTGCTAGTTAGTTATAGCTTCAGACAAACGTATTGATTTTTTAGTATGGTGAACTGAAACAAAAATAACAACACAAACCTTGAAACTTAAACACCTATTATACTCATTTTTGACCGACTTCAGAAAAGGAAGAAGTATATAATTCAAGTGTATTTTTTGTGTGTATGCTACACGATTAGTACTTTGTCAATTCTCTACTGATGTTAATGATTATTTTATGAACATATTATATCTGAAGGCTGGCCCGGCCCTATTTTGTGTTTAAAATTCGTAACCTTATGATGAAATTTAAAATTATTTTGCATTCAATATGCCGTTTTAGTTAAAATATAATAACTAACCAAAGCAGATTTTAGAACCTACATTACCTACGATTGACTTCCATTATGTAAATTAGTACCTAATTAACATTAACACCACCTCCATTAATTTTAACACTTTTCAGGCGAAACAATTAATTTTTGAAATGGTCAACCATAGTTTTATTAAGCCCTTAATTTGCATAGTATTATATTTAAATATTCGACTATTTGACACTATATAATATTTTCTAGTTAACGACGTTAATGTAAAAAATGTTATATATTATTGTATATATAATTCCATTCAAACTTAAGCGGCACCCTTTTATAACAATAATTATACCTCGGTATTTTCGTGGCCTTGTTTATGTATAGTCATTTGTTTCGATACATTTCCTCTTTAAATGTTAAAGCTCTACGGTGCATTGTAGCCACCGATACTACAAAAATATTTTTAAATATTTCTAATAATAACTACTTATCCAATCATTTTTATCTAAATATTGTTATCTGAAGTCATATAAACTATCTTAATAATAAAATATAGCCTTTTAGTTGCGCCAACTTTTATCTTCTATACATACAAGAAAAATTTGTACCTGAATCGAATCTGTACATTAAATATTTTTTAGAAAATCTTATTGAAATAGACATTATTATCGATAAAGAGGCCGAATCTATAGTTTTTAGAATTTTTGTCTGTCTGTATAGGAACATATAGGAGACTTTTTACTATGGGAAAATATCTCATGTGAGAAAAATATACTTAACAGTAAAACGTTACGATGTTTATATATAAACGATAGGTATATATAAAAATAAACCAATTGTACGGGCTGAGACGAAAACCCCTACAGTCTTCGGTTGATAGTGATTAATGCTGATAGGAATTATTGATATAGTAAATGATAGTCCAAAATTAACTTAATTGTATATTAACCGTACTTTTATGATAGAATGATAGAATGATATTATTGATAGAACGACCCGTGAGCGCGCACGACGGCGACCGCGACAACTCGTGCGACACTGCTTTCGGATTCATTAATTGAAATATATATAGCCTCTATCCACGTAGTATGGCGTAATGTGCTTATGCGACAAATATTATGTACTGGCCCGTACATGCTCCCGGGCCGAAAGATAGGAACGTTGATGAGGTGCACTTAATCTAATACAAGATGATGGGCATTTTCACTTAATCTTATATGATAATAAAATATAGATAACAATTAAATCTTAAACTAAACCCCGGTGTCAGTTATAGAGAAAACTGACTGACGCACTGGCGAAGTGCCCCTATTTTTACGGAACACACGCTCACTGATAGCTTGATCACTCACTTCACTTTTTACTAAATTGCTCTTACATTGCCCTACGTCACTTAATACTTTTAACTTTACACTGTTCACTTCACTGTCACACGGCTCTTCTACTCGAGCGCTAGGCGCTAGTCGGCGACGCGCGCGTCTGACGCGCCGCCATCCATATACCGCCGCGACCGCTGCGGCTACCGCCACAACCAGGTAGGTCACGGTGTAATGATGAATATGATGGTATGATACTCCTTCTATACTTGGTTCACTTCTTTTTATGGTATCCAATTGCTCTTGGATTGCAAGTAACTGTTTCTGATCGACTACAGTCTCTAAACTAGTACTGGAGGGCGAATCGGGTACCGAAATATTAATTAAGTAGTTAATCGGTGCAATTTCTGGTAATTTAAAATCGAGTTTCGTGTTCATTTTACTAAAATATTGATTTTGAGAATAAAAAGAGAAATCAGCTGATTTTATATGACAGCCCGGATCCACTGTCAGCAGTCCAGTATTGTTTAATTGTATGGCTGTAACATGATCCATGCATAGTAATCGGACGTAGCATTTATTACAGCAGAAATAAAGATATGTATTTAGTTTGTTTGTTTGAGTAAAAATATTTTTGCAGGGACTAATAATAGTTTTACATGTATTTGAATTTTGTCCCTTCTCACACAAACTTTGGTCATTTCTCATATGGTAAATCGGTTTCTTAACCGAACACAAAACAGTATCAATCTCTTGTTCAATACATAAGTTTAAATCAGTTTCCGTTAAAGATAAAAATAAATCCTTGTTTAAGTTTAAAGCCAGCATTTCACTTATAGGTAAAATGCTGACCATGTTCTTTACTGCCTGTTTTGGAATAGAAAAAAGAAACTTTAAATATTTCGAAAGAATCTCTTGTGATTAATGGAATCCGAATTTCAAATATGAGGAACTCTTTTGATAGGTGTGCTTTAACCTTTAATATTTTGTATAATTTAGATAGGTCCGCGTGGTCATTTGGTAAGCACAGATCTCTGGGCAGATTTGTAGATATGATACTCAATTCTTGTTGTAATTGCTCGGGATGGAGAAGATGTACACTGAATTTTCCGTGAAACACGTCGGTGATAGTGTCCAGGAGATAATCTTGAATGCTCCTAAGATCATGTAATATGTTATTTGTGATCATTGCTGATAAAGTAAAATCTGTAATATACGAATTATTTTGAAGCTCAGATCTGAGAATATTCACAGAGGAATTTAGCTCCATAATCTTTTTGTTAATTGTTTTATGATACTTGTTCATGATAAATTCAGCCCTTTTGATAAGGTTAAATTCCGCTTCAATGATCGACGTTTGATTTTTCCATAGCTTAATCAGATGTTTTTCATTCTCTCTAATTAAACCAATGTCTTGTTCGTATTTATTTGCAAAATTACTATCCAATATTCCAAACAATGAATTTGCTATATTACCTATACCGTTAATAAGACCCCGGCGTCGCCGGCGCTGACGCATGTTTACGTCAAATTGCTGACCTAGCCACTTGCTATTGTATTGTTGTAGGTCGGAATACTGGTGATTTAATTGATACATGACACCGTCGCAAGGTGAATGATCCTTTATCGTAGCGCATATGGTTTGTAGATATTGTATGTACTTATTTGCCGCCTTAGTGCCTTCCCAGTATGGATTGATGTCGTAATAGACGACCAGTCGCCAATCATCTTGAATTAAATGCATGTTTGCAATTTTATCAAAAAACAGACCGCAATTATTTTGTAAAGACGTGTTATTATATAACCCATAGGCGTTTGTCATTAAAGTCATAAAAAATAATATTATAGTAGTAGCAACCGTCGCAAAATTTAGTTTTTTCTTAATACATCTCGGATTTCTTTCACGTATACATTTTTTATCTTCCACTGCGGGTTTTTCTTGTTGTACGGGCAGAATTGACAGTTTTATAACAGGCCTCTTCATAAGTCCATTTTTAGTTTTTAATGTTACTACTCGTACACGACCGTCCTTTCCGGGATGTAACGCCAGTACGCGGCCGAGCGCCCATTTTCCCGGGGGAAGACTCGCGTCATTTATGATGACGATGTCATTTAATTTGATATTTTCTTGCGGTTGTTGCCACTTGCTTCGCGCTGATAGGTTGGTGAGGTACTCTTGCTGCCATCTCTTCCAGATGTCCTGGAATATTTTTTGTTTGAGGTGCCACCTAGTCCTTAGGTCCCATTCAGTTTCATAAATTGATAGTATTGGTCCACTTGATAAAAAATGAGATGGAGTTAAATAATTTAAATCTTCAGGGTCCTCAGTGAGCGGACACAATGGTCTAGAATTTAAGCATGCTTCTAGTTGAGCCAGGAGAGTAGTGAATTCCTCATATCTAAGCCTTTGTTCCCCAACTACTCTCTTCAAATGGAATTTCAGGCTCTTAACAGCTGCTTCACAAAGACCATTCGCTGATGGCCAGGAAGGGGCATTGAAATGCCATTCGATTCCCATGTCGGCAACTTCTGAATGAAACTCTGGGGTAAATATTTTCATTAGATCCTCATATTCATGTTGTAATATCTTGTTTGCTCCGATGAAATTGGTACCATTGTCACTGTAAATATGACGCGGGGTCCCACGGCGAGCTGACATTCGCCGTAAGGCTGCTATAAATGCGGTACTCGTCAAGTCTGATACCAGCTCTAGATGTACAGCCTTGGTTGCCATACATGTAAATACTGCTACATACCCCTTAGTGGTTTTAATACCACGACCTGAGTTTGCCTTTAAATATAAGTGACCGGTATAATCCACTGCTACATGATAGAAAGGTCTAGAAGGATTTGTTCTAGCACTGGGAAGGTCACCCATAATCTGATAGTGTTTGCTAGGTCCTTGCTTCCTACACTGGATACAAAGGCGTAGTCTCTTCTTGGTAGCTCTGTTGCCACCTACAACCCAATATTTCCGTCGTAAATATGCTGATGTTAATCGAGGACCTCCATGATAAGTTAGCTTATGTGATTGATCAATTAGTAACTCCGCAATACGATTTTTGCCAGGTATAATGATAGGATTTTTCATGTCCGGGTCCAAGTTCGCGTTCCTCAACCTACCGCCGACTCTAAGTATCTCATTTTTATCTAGATATGGATTTAACTCACAAATTTTGCTTCTGCTATTTATCTTATTACCGCTTTGTAAATCCGTAATTTCTTGATAATACTCAATTTGTTGAATTTTCTTAATAATTAACGAAGTTGCTTGTTTGAGTTCTTCTACGGACAAGAAACTACCGTATTGTTTTTTCTTGATATAAATAAATCGCCGTACCCATGCTATTATTCGAACTAATTTATTAAATGAACTACAATTTGATAAACATTTTTCTATGATATCGTCGCGTTTTTGCGTAACTGAAACAACTTGTTTTGATAATTTAAGTTCTTGATCCGTTGAATACATAATATTATTATCATCCTCTTTAAAAACTGCTAGCCAAGTTGGACCCTGCCACCACAAATGATGTTCTTTTAATTCTGATGCTGTGATACCGCGGCTAGCGCAGTCCGCCGGGTTCTCTTTTGATTTGACGTATCTCCAACATTCGGATGGTACTGAGTTTGTAATAGTTTTAACTCGATTGGCAACGAATGGCTTCCATTTTTCTGCTTCTCCATTGAGCCACCCTAACACAACTTGAGAGTCAACCCAACAATAAGTTTTTATTTCATAATAGTTTAGGCATTGTTTTAATTTTAAAATTAATTTAGACAGTAACAGTGCCCCACTTAATTCAAGTCGAGGTAAAGTAAGTTTTTTGCTGATGGGCGCTAATTTTGTTTTCGCGGCGACTAACACGATTGTAGGTGATTGACCCGTTGTTTTGCAATACACAACGCAAGCGTAGGCTTTCGTACTTGCGTCACAAAATCCATGCAATTCTATTTCTTGATTTTCTTTTGTACGGAGCCACCTTGGCACACGACATTGATTTATATCTTGAATACAGTTTTTAGCCAAATTCCACTCTCTGAAAATAGTATCTGTAATAGGGTCATCCCAATGCAACTTTGTTTCCCAAACCATTTGAAAAATAATTTTAAACTTTGTAGTAACTGGTGACAACCAACCCAAAGGGTCGAATATTTGAGAAATTTCCGAGAGTAAATTTCTTTTAGTAGGCCGTGTTGAAGAAAAAGTTGTTTGTATTTGAAAAGTAAAATCATCATTTTCTGGGTCCCACCGAAGTCCCAAAGTTTTCGTTGATTCTGTATGTTTAAATTCGAATTTTTCTTGATTATTGTCATTGCTCTCTGTGGCGCTCTCCACCAAGTGTGGCAAGTTTGATTTCCATTTACGCAGATTAAAACCTCCGGAATGCAATAAATGGATTAAATCCTCTTTTAATTGTTTCGCAGTTGTTTCCGAGTGGGCGCCGTGAAGCAAATCATCCATATAAAATGACTGCTCTATGACTTCTGGTGCGCAACTATTTTTATAATTAATTTTTTCGTCATAAGCTAGCTGTCGCAATGTCATCATCGCGAGGAATGGAGCCGCCTTTGTACCGTATGTGACGGTGGTTAACTGATATTCCTGCAAGGGCTCGCAGGGGCTTTTTCGCCAAATGATTTTTTGCAGAACTTGATCATCTGGGTGTATCCAGATTTGCCGGAACATTTTCTCAATGTCGGCTGTGAACGCGAATTCAAACTGTCTCCACTTGATAAGAAGGTTTTGCAGGTCCTTTTGTAAAGTAGGCCCTTTACACATAACGTCATTCAAACTGTGACCGCTCGATGTTTTATTCGAAGCATTGAAAACTGTTCTTAGTTTCGTTGTAGTAGAGTCGTTTCGAATCACACAGTGGTGAGGTAGATAACAATGGGGTTTCGAATTACCGTTTGTCAATATCATATGATTGAGTGACTTATATTCCTCCATAAATGCTATATACATGTTCGCCATATCTGCTTGTCTACATAATTTTTTTTCCAAATTATAAAACTGCGCTATACATTTATTTTTTGACTCTCCTAATTTTTCTTGATAATTTGATTTCATCGGCAGCCTCACTTCGTATCGTCCGTCGCTTCGTCGTATTGTGGTAGATTTATAAAAATTGACGCATTCCTGATCTTCTAATGATAAATTTGGTGTTTCTGATATATCCTCGATCTCCCAAAATGTTTGTATTTCTTGTAAATTATTAATAACAACGTTACACTGTAAAGTTTTCACGTTGCCCGTTAATATCCAGCCCAAACGTGTATTTTGTGCTATTGGTATATGATTATCGGCCTTACGAATTCCTTTTAATAAAATTAACGAATAAATATCCGCACCTAAAAGTAGATCAATCGGACGACTTACGTAGAACTCGGGGTCTGCTAAGGTAATGTTCTCTAATAAATGCCACGATGGTTTGGAAAATGTATAATTAGGTAGATTCTTGATAAGGCTTTTCATGATATAAACTTCGGTCTTAAATTCAAAATGGTTATTCTTCGATGCACATTTAATAGATATGACGCCCTTACAGTTGCTCTCTTTCGCACCTACCCCTGATATCACCCCTTGACATCTTGATCTAGGTTGACCGAGTACTTGAGCTGCATTTTCGGTGATAAGCGAAGTTTGGGAGCCCTGGTCTATAAGAGCTCGCATGTTAACGAAAGTTCCATCATATTTTTGTACTTTAATAATGGCTGTAGCCAAAAGTACCTCAGGCATGCCGCGTTGCAACGACACGTGCGAGTTGCTTTGAATTTGCTGAGGAGACTCTAAACTATTTGTTTGACCTGATTGCGTAAATGATTCGTGTAAAATCGTATTATGAGTTTCGTTACATTTAATACATCGTTTTTCGGAAATACATGGTTTGCCGTTATGCGAATAAAGACAGTTTTCACATACATTAAGTTTTGATACAGTTCGGCGTTTTAGCTGCGGTGTCATATTTAAAAATTGGCGACAATAAAATAATGAATGTTCGTTGGTTTTGCATACTCCGCACTTGTAAAATTTCAATGAACTGTTGTTTTTGATATTAGCTTGTTGCGAAATTAGCCTACTGTGTACCGGAAATGCTTGCTTGTTAAAACTTTTATTATATTTATTAAATTGTTGCGGCGCCAAATTATTCGTCTTATGCATTTTATTCATATATTGATATTCTGGTTTCTTACGAGCTGACTCTAAACTAGTAAATTTACTCTCTAAAAATGACAAAAATTCCTGCAAATTAGGTATCTCCCTTGGTTGTTTTACGATTGATAGGTATTCATGGTATGTGTCTGTATCCAATTTTTGAGAAAGAATATGAACAAGTAGCGGATCCCAGGATTCCACGTCGACACCCAAGTTCTTTATAGCGTTTAATGTCTCTAAAGTTGTATCGTGAATACGCTTAATATGATTTAATGAAGTTTGTTGTACTACAGGGATGTTTAACAATATTTCAATGTGCGAACGGAAAATTAAACGCTTATTGCTATACCTGTTATTTAAGATATCCCAACTGATTGTATAGTTATCAGAGGTAATAGGCAAGTGCTGTATGAGCCTTTCTGCTTCTCCCTTTACTTTTGTTTTTAGAAATTGCATCTTTTGTGCATTAGATAATGACGGACTTCTATGAATTGTTTCGGTGAACAAGTCTTTAAATGAGCTCCACTTATGGTAACTACCGCTGAAAGTTGGTATCTCTACGTGTGGCGTCTACTGGTCCCTATGTGATACGGACCACAGCTTCCGGTTGATAGATTTTACTATATCATTATACGTTTTTTCGTATTTAAAAAATAATGATTCGTACTCTGGGTTTCTATTCCCAATTTCGCTGTCTAATTCCCAGTGTAAGGTGTCAATTAAGGACCACCGCGATTGTACTGCTCGTAATAAATGATCGAACTCCCATTTCTCTGATACCGATTGTAAGTCAATATTTGATACTGTGTGCTCTAATGCTTTAAAATTGCTGCTCTGTTTACGTAACATTTCGTCAGTCTTGCTGTTCGTCCCCTGAGACTGAGATGACAACTGACGAGACGGACCGGGTACAGTTAATGGACTAGCTGATTTTTGAATAAATTTTTCGGGCTTCTCTTCCTTACTTTGATAGTTAGAAATTGCTAATCTAATATTATCGTACCTTTGTTTAATAATCTCAAATTGATTGCCCGTAAAATAGGAATGAGACTTGGCGTATTCCATTCCGCCTAATAAAAAATGGTTTCATTGTAGTTCCTGCCAGTACTTATCTAAGGTATCCAACCTCCGCCTGATGTAGTCAGGCGTCTTTCGGTCGGCACCATCCTTTTTAAAGTTCGTGTAAACTTGCTCGATTGCCTCAAATAGCTGTTGCTGATTAGCTAATATGTCTTCCATACTCGACATGCTGATAGTAATGATAGTGATAATTTAATAAGGAAAGATCTTATTTGATAAATCTGGATAGCTGCACACGTTGCGTTACGATGTGTTGGTGAGCCGTTTATACCCACCAAATCCAAAGTGATAGGCAATGGTTATAAATCCACGCGCCGGAACTGTTGTTAATTCACGTTATTCGTCTCCTGATACGTATGTCCTCACTTGTGATACACAGAACTAATAAAACTAGCTATGAACACACGCGAGGTCCACTCGAAGGATTGATTACAAAGTCATATAAAATAAGTTCTCGGTTCTCGAAGGACCACAAAGATGTACGGGCTGAGACGAAAACCCCTACAGTCTTCGGTTGATAGTGATTAATGCTGATAGGAATTATTGATATAGTAAATGATAGTCCAAAATTAACTTAATTGTATATTAACCGTACTTTTATGATAGAATGATAGAATGATATTATTGATAGAACGACCCGTGAGCGCGCACGACGGCGACCGCGACAACTCGTGCGACACTGCTTTCGGATTCATTAATTGAAATATATATAGCCTCTATCCACGTAGTATGGCGTAATGTGCTTATGCGACAAATATTATGTACTGGCCCGTACACCAATAATTGTCGATTAAACCTAGACAATCAAATATGTTTTATCGACAGGAAGTCTTTAAATTGTTTTTCTTTTTGTTTTGTTCGCAGCTCTTCAGCGAGTGAGCTTATCTCGAGGCGGGGCGTGTTCTCGCGCAGACAGTATGGCTCCGTTGAACAGGTAAACCGTTATGCTTTATATCGAACTTATGTATAACATGAATGTAAAATTTTCTATGTTTATTTTGTTGTGTTTGTTACTTCTTCGTGCTGAAACGGCTGCACGGATTTGGATGAAATTTACTTTACTCAAATAGATTATGACCGGGAGTAATAAATAGGCTTAGGCACATAGAGAAAGTCGCTAGTAATATTATATGTATTGATGATTTTTTTTAACGTAAGATATTTAAGGTTAGGGAGATGTTTAAATTAGATGATTTTCTGGTTTGGTTAAGATGCAATAAAAGCAAGCAAGAAGAATAATATGCCAAATTCTAAATTATTGATATAATCATATAAGCGGAAATTACGAAACGTCGTGACTCGTAAAGAATTTGTTCCTGTTACTCCTCAGGAAAAAGTTATAAAATTATATATTATATATATTATAATAAAATGTTATAGTTATATATTATATTTTCCCTTATTTGTAATCTTTAATTTATAATATAGTGTTATGTGTGTTATAATTAAAGGGTTTGCTTTTATTATTATTAAGCTGTTTACGTATTATAATCTTTATTATCTAATAACAGAAAAGTTATTGTTACATAAGTAAGTTAACTGTTTAAAATATATATTTTTGTTTTTTTCAGTTAACTAAGTTAACTTTCATACACATAAAGTCGCATTACATACATCTATATAAAGTATAACAATTATTTTCTAATAGCTTTTGCCTCCTTACTTTTAAGCTAGACGTTGCCGGTGATAAATTAAATTAAGAACGGGAAAATTTCGTTGTAAAGGTGTCTTTCATAGGAAACAATGGAATGAACTAGTGAAGGTCTTTGTTAGAAGACATAATTTATAGATGATAAGCTAAAAGATAAGACGTGTACATTGGTACAAACATACCTATGAAAGCTACTTAAGTAAGCTACGTATTAAATTAATTTTAGTTATGTAAGGAAAAGAAAACGTATTTTCAACATTATTATTAGTATTTTAATTATAAATAGACTGAAAATATCATTCGTTTGAATATTCTATAAAATATAGAATTCAAACAATTGAAAATTAAAGTATAAGTTGAATATTTTTTCATATTTTTGTCTCTAAATATAAGTAAGTAAAATGAGTATAATAAAAATCAAAATGAAATTCTGTAAATATATTTTCTCCATTTTTTACAAACTTTGCATGTACATATAATATTTACGTTTATATTTAACAACAGTTAAAGCTCCTAGCGCGAGTGCAAGTCACATTTGGTCGGTTTTTATTAGTTTGATGCTTTCATGTACAGCGTTTACGATTTTTTGGCAAGAAAAAGAAAAATACCTCAACTTCAATCTAATCTCAATCCACTTTTTAAAGGCAACGACCCTTATTTTATATGCGAGTAGCACGAAAAACCCATGATTCACCTTTAAATATATAATAAATGCGAAAAGTGTGTGTATGTGCGTGTGTGTGTACATATACATACATTATAATGCATTTACGCATACTACCTGTACCTGCTATGGGTTATTAATTAATAGGTAGTGATTCACAGACTGGAAAAGCCAGTACTACTCCCTAAAATACAACCTAAAATACGATTTCAAGGTCTCAACCCATGCTTCCCAGTGCGTCCCTTAGTTTCACACCCTCATACTACCTGTATAGTCTATATGTATGTATTTGGTCTACCGGAAAGTTCTATCCGTTTTTTGAATAAAATAAAATACTTTTTTTCTTACTATTACTAGAGTTTAATAATAAATATAATTGTCATTATTACTAATGACTTTATGCCAGCGTGAAGGCAATTTGTATATTGCTTTTTTTTTAATTTCATTTTTTGATGCGAAAAATTGAACCAGTGCTTATTTAATATCTTTTTTATTTTTGAATTTTTTGCCCTTCAAAAAATTTTGTAAGGACAAAAACAAGTGATAGTCGGAGGGTGCTAAGTCCGGGGAATACGATGGATGCGACAGAATTTCCCAGCCTAGTTCTATAATTTTTTGCCGAGTCCGCAAAGTAGCATGTGGTCTGGCATTATCATGGTGCAGTATGATGCCCTTGCTGTTGAACATCACCGGCCTCTTTTCTTGGACGGCTGTCTTTAAATTATTCAGTTGTGGACAGTATTTCTCCGAAATGAGCTTCCGGTTTTAAAAGCTCATAATGTATTGGTCCTCGAATGTCCTACCATATACACAACATTCTCTTATTCAAAGTCAAATTCGGTTTAGAGTTGGAAGGGCTAGGTTTTCCTTGCAAAGTTTTCGTAGGTAATTCACTTTTAACCTCCAGTTATTATCCGGCTTAAGAAGGGCACGATTTTGTTCCGACAGAGATGTGTATTATGTATATGACGACTCGATCATCCAAATTCTTCTCACTTAATTCATGTGACTCCCGTCTTGAATATTTTCACACCAATCCTATCTTCCGAATATGGTTCGAAATGGTTTGATGAGCTAAATTAAGCCTTTCTGCAATCGCTGATGTTTTTAGAAAAGGATCTTGCTCCAACATGTTCTTAATTACAGCATCGTCGATTAGAGATGATCGTCCATAACGTAGCTTATCGGAAAGGTCAAAATCACCTGTTTTAAATTTTTCGAACCATCTTTTGCATGAAACTATACCTTCACCGAATACTTTCAATTAATTTCTACATGCTTCTGTAGCATTTTTTCCTCGTTGAAATTCGTATAAAATACAGTGGCGTAAATGAACTTTATCAGTAGCCAAGGATACACTCTCGCTTCACACTTAAGAATAATGCGAATTTAGTCTATTTTACTTTATTTGCTACGTTAGTATGTATACAACAAGCGATTAAAATTTAGAGCCGAACTTGCGCCAAATAAACATGTGCTTACATGTCGAAAATTATTGTCATAGAAACGGACAAAATTTTCCGGTAGACCTATTATATACAGAGTTATGTGAAAACTTATTGGCTAAAAATGTGAGTATTACCCACCAAAGTCTAATGGAACCTTCACCATCCAAATACGACGCCCCGACGGCTGTTCGTTCGAGGCAGACCACAAAAACCACGAGGTTGCAACCATAGTCGACTCTGCTGACGGTGATGTACCAGAAGCAACCCACATGATACACCGCCTACCAAGATGGGTGGGGTGCCTCCCAAGTGCGTTTCTTAGCTTAACGCCCGGCCGAATCGTCGGCGCTAATGAGCATCAATACCATGACATGGTATGACAAGATAAATACGTATGGGGGAACCTAGAGACGCATCTTAACGAAGCAAGAGTCAGTTGCTAGTAAGTTATATTTTTAAAATTCTTATATAAATCAAAATGCTTTATTTAAAGATTATTTTTAATCCGTATCAAAATTGTTGTTTAAATTTAATAAACATTTCTTTTTCATAGAAGCCTAAGAAGCTTTTCATCAAATTAGATTATATCATTATACCTTTCCACACGTTGACGCGCCTTGCTACGGGTTTTGATATATTTTACTGAACCTTTAAATACCCAGTAGGGTATATTATATATTATCAAGTAGTTAGAAAAAAATACTATGCAAGTAGTAACATAGTATTTTTTTCTTAAATTCGTGTTTTCGAGAGTTACTGATTTTATTCTCTATCAAAGTCATAGTTTAGGTATCTTATTCGGTAAAAATCTTTGATAGGTATCATGAAATTGATTTACAATTTTAGAGGAATTGTCGCAGAAATTGTTCGATACTGTCGAACCTTAGAGAGGAAGACCCTAGAAACTAACTTAAAGGGAATAATCCGCAAGTACTGTTAAAGTTTGTAGCCTAAAAGGTTTGCAATCCCTGAAAGATTAAAATGAGCGTTTAAATTGGTTTGGAGCGCTTAAATAAGTTTCATAATTAATGGATCTTCAGGAAGTAAAATCTTTTTGACTTTAAGAATGCTTAGTTGCGATTAAATGCTGCAAGAACATCTGAAAAATATTTATTAAAAATATATAGATACTAAATTATAACTAAATTTCATTTCAATCGGTTGAATAAATGCTAAATATATGAACGCTCCTACATAAAGCAGGTACGCAGTATAGGTACATAAAATTTTATTAAATTAAACGGGAACTGTCAAAAGTAGGGCACTATTAATTAATAATAATTATATTAATTAAATTGGGGAAAATGATAGATTTATGTTGTATGTACATCTATACTTCCATACTTATAATAATAATATTATAAATGTGAATGTGTTTCTTTGTTTGTTTGTCCTTCTTTCACATCGAAACAGAGTGACAGATTGACGTGATTTTTTGTGTGAAGATAGTTGGAGGGCTGGAGAGTGACATAGGCTACTTCTGACCGCGGGAGATTGTTTTATTCCCACTGGAAAACACGTTCTAATACAAACCAAAAAATTATTTGTGAACAGAATTACTTGAAATTTGGGATTAATACTCTTCAGTACAAATTAATAGATACGTGTTTTAGCATTAGGAATTCATCCTATAAGGGGGTAAAATAGATGATAAAAGTTTATATGAAACTTACCTTTTTAGAGATATTTTCATAGTTTTAGCGCGAGCGAAGCCGCGGGTTCTGCTAGTAGGTATATAAAGAAACATAAAAGTCACTTTATTAAAAGTTTTTATCACAAAGTCGTTCAAGTTCTATTATATGCTTTTATGAAAAAGTAATAATTAAAATCTTTTAAGGAACCTTAAATTTTGATTTCTTTAGCTTTGATGTCTACTTTGATACTTAATTGTTTTTATTTTCGCAGTAACTTCAATATATCTTAATAAAACGATGAATATAACTTATAAAATATAAATTTCTGTCCAGCCATTCCACGTGATTTCTATATATTTGTATAGCAATCACTGGAAGCCCAGTAGTAACACATTTGCTTTTACAACCAAGTGTTCAAGCTCCTTATCTCGCAATTTTGAGATTTTCATTCGCGACTCTTTTACAGAAAAATATCGTGAGAAAACCTGCATGTCTACGAAAAATTTTCTAGTTTATAAGATATATGAAGTCAGCCAA